ATTTTGACGAGATTTTCTCTAATACACTGTATCGAAAGGTGAGTGACCTTTTTTACCTCCCTTTTATTAGCTCGGGATGTAACTACATATGTAATATTGATGCGCCTAAAAGATGCAGCGATTTCTATTCTCAAGTTACATACCTGATGACAGTACGAATGGAAATTATAATAGCGAGGTTTTAGTTATTTCAACTATAATTTTATTTACTGGGATTTTTAATAACCTGTCTAAAAAACTATTTGATCCGCACCGTTCGTTGGATTACAAAAAGTGAGGTGTCACATGAAAGCGATTGGCCTCTAGAAAAGCACTAATGCCTTATTTTTTGAATAGGGTTGCCACTTGTTAAGAAAATTACTATATTCAATCCTAATGAGTGAAGGCATCAGTTCTGCACCGTCACTGTCAATGAAAAGACAGCTTTAGATGTGTAATAATGTATTATTTTTCTCGAGTAGGGTTGCCACCTGTTTAAAAACTATAAGATCTTCACCGTTGGCTGGATTACAAAAAATTGAGGTGTCGAATGAAAGGGATTGGCCCTCTAGATTTTTTTTTGTTCGGTAATATAATGTGCGAGCATATACGTGTGAAAAGCGTACAGTTGAGCTGTACGCGTGGTATGAAATGCCCATTACTTCTCTAGATATTCAGTAATGTGTTATTTTTTGAGTAGGGTTGCCACTTTTCTTAAAATCTTAATATCTTCACCGTTCGTTGGACTAAAAAATGAGGTACCCAGTGAAAGGATATGGTCTCCGAATGTGCAGAAACCATTAATTTTTTTTAGTGGGGTTGTCATCTATTTAAACATAACCACATTTTTATTACTTAGATACATTAGATTTCCACAGTTCATTCAATTAACAAAAAACAAAAAAAAAACAAGTGAAATGATATTATCTTCAGATGTGCAATAAGCTTTAACTTTTTAGTGGGGTTGCCACCTATTTAAAAATTATCACCTTACATATAATACGTGAAGGCATTTTTTATTAATTACATCAGATTTGCGCAGTTCATTCATTTAAAAAGTGTTAGGTCTCAAAAGAAAGGGCTTGGCGTTCAGATGTGCAATAAGGTTAGCAACGCGTTGGCTTTCCTCGCGCTTGGTTTAAAATGAAAAACACTCGCGTTTATTATAAACGTTATAAAGTTTTTTTATTAAAAAACATATGAAGCGAATAAAGTATATGTCCGGTTTGATACTCTGCGGTGGCCGTTTTCCCGTCTTTCTCCACTTTCCTTCCGTCATAAAGAGAAAGTCGTACAAGCAGAGAGGGCATTAGGGTGCTCTTTCATTACAATCAGACGATTGTACACTTGGGGCGTATAAATAAACGAGTAAATAAATATTTTGTTGTTTGCTCATGGGTTAGAGCTTGTTGTTTCGAATGAGCGGGTCTTATTTATTGCACTTTAGTTTGAGTTATGTAGTGTGCTCATGGGTTAGAGCTTATGGCATTGAATGCGCGGGGTCTTATTAATTACCCTCTATTTTCAAAGTTTTACGGCGGAACCGCTTATCACCCAACCAAATATAGTCTCTTGCGCTATTACATTATCTTGTTTTTTTCGGGCTCCGGGTTGGAGAATTTGTGGAAGTATGTCGCTTCCAATAAGCAGATCTATGGGTGCTGGTTTGCTGAAATGGGGGTCAGCTAGTTCATGGGCTTTGAACTATTTGATAAATTCACGACTTACGTCGGAAGTCGCTAAGTGCTCCGTTAATTGCTCGAGTATGACAGCTTTTGTATTTATCTTCCGCTTTGCCTTGCGGGTAGTTATATTTAGTTCACATACGTTCTTAGTGCGTTTTGAGTTACATCCAACAATTGTAAATACTTCGAATTGTGAATGCTCGGTTAGGAGCTTCAACCTCCTTTGAGCTGCTGACGAAATAAAGGTTCTTTGGGACCCTTGGTCAAGCAATGCTCTGAGTTGAAACTGTTCTCCTCGATGCTCTATTGCCACTACTACAGTTGGGAGGAGAACTTAATTTTCTTTGGCAGTTTGGAGCGAGTTAACATTCGCGGAATTTGAGCAGGTGCTTGTTAACTCTTGGGGGCAATCTTTGGTGATCGTGTGCGCTATTACTTTTTGACTTTGCTTCTTGGTTGGGTGGTGATCATAGGGGATCACCTGCTGTTTATTTTGTGGGTCTGTGGTCATTTGGGGACGACCACAGCTTTCATTTATTTGTCAATCGGGGGTGATCGATTTATTAATATTTTCTTTTATGCTAGCCTTTATGGAATGGCCTATATTTGAATGAACATGCAGTAACAGTTATGTCTTCTGACAATACATGCATTTGAATGGTGAGTTGGACTCTGCCAAGGTATGATTGAAGGCGAGGCAATTTCGGCATAATTTATTAGCTTTAACAAATTTTATGCGCCTTTGTATTGCGAATGTTTTAAGTAGTGAACACTTTTTCATGGGATGTAGTGTGTTGCATAAATAACAGGGAAACACTGTTTTAGAATTTGTTTGAAAAGCATTGATTTTACGGTTGGATTTTGAGAGATTAGAACTCCTGGGTACAAGCTTTGGAAATTTCATTTCTACACTTTCTAGTACTTGAAATCTGGACGTTAGAAATTCGTCCATTTGAGACCATATGGGAAGATTTCTTCTTGTGGGCAATGGATTTCTCCCATAGTAATCGGGTATCTTTCGGCAATTTGGATACGCAAATATGTATAAGGATAGGTTCCCAGCTGTCTGTCAACACCTTTTGAGTATTTAAAATGGACAGACATGTTTTTATTTTGCTTTGTAGATTTATAATCTTCGCTATTTTCTATGTCAATGCTAGGCAGATTCAGTAAGATTTGGATTGGATTGTCCACTAATATACGATTGTTTTCATAACGTTCGCTTAATGCTTGCCATGCCAGCTCAAAATTCTCGTCGCTAAAAGGGAATTTCTTGACGATTTGACCGGCTTGCCCTTTTGTTTTAGACCGAAGGTGGTATAATTTTTGAGCGGATGATAATTGCAGTGGTTTAGTAGCCGGCTGTAAAGATATCTCGGAAAGATTCCCATTCTTCATAACCACCGTGGAAAATCTCTGTATCACATGTTGGGAGTTGCAGATTCATGTGAGGATTTTCATCTGTGTGCGAATTCTGTGCTTCTCGGGAGTGAGAGCTTGGGGGACTTATAGCTCGGATTAATTTGAGTTGATCTAAGATCTTCGCTTTAGTCATTTTATAAGTATCAATACTAAATTGATACTTGCCTTCCGCCAATGCCTAAAAATTATCTGGAAGGTCTTCCTCATCTTTTAGGAAAAGTGAGTCATATGCGGCTTGTAACCGCGCCCAGAGATTGTCAATAGGTTTTCTTTTATTTCGAGGGCCGACTCTGTGAATTCCTCTATGGGAGAAGAGGTGAGTCTGGCAGAATATCTCATGAAGCCATCATTTTCTATATTAAATTTTTGCGCACACGGGTCAAGAGATTCTCTTTTTCCTGATTTCTTTGCTTCGGAAGAAGTTGATTTCCTTGGAATTTTGGAACTAATTTTCGGGCTTTGTTCAGTTGGCATTTTTGATATTAGGAAATTTATTTATATTTGAGTATTTTAGTATGTATGGCTCTCGATTGAGCAATTTGTGGTTAATTGTGCTTTTTGTGGACTGTATGTATTTTTGTGACCGGTGAATTTTACTACTGGGTTTTATTTTTTATTTTTGTCTCATTCGGGGGTGGTCCCAAAAGTACCAGGCCTAACCTCGAGATGGCGGCAGTTGTTTGAAAAATATCACTGGGTTAAAAAGTACCCAATCTATAAAGCATATGTTTCAAGTTTGAATATGCCACGTTGTTTAGTATTTGCTTGGCAGCCGCCAATAGTGAACGTTTTCAGTGAATTTGTGAAAATGGAGAAAATTGGTCATCGTTATGTGATACAATACTTTTATTTGAAAGGCCTCAGACCATCCAATATAAAAGCTGAAATAGATTATACTTTGGGCGGGTCTGCTCGTTCGTTTACCACAGTAAAATATTGGGTAGCAGAGTTTAAACGAGGCCGTACGAGCTGCCAAGACGAGCATTGCAGTGGTCGACCAAATGAGGTGACGACTCCAGAAATGATGAAGAAAATCCACAAAGCGGTAATGGATGATCGTCGAATGAAAGTGCGCGAGCTGGCAGATACAATAGGCATTTCAAAAAGTATGGTACATCGCATATTATTTGAAGATTTGGAAATGAGAAAGCTGTGTCCAAGATGGGTGCCGCATTTGCTCTCACTCGACCAAAAACAGTGTCGTGAAGAGGTTTCAGTTGAGTGTTTAGCGAATTAATGAATTAATGTTTGAATTGCTACCTCATGCACCCTATTCGCCAGATTTAGCCCCCTCGGACTATTTTCTGTTCCCCAACTTAAAAAAATGGCTCCGTGGTCAAAGATTTTCTAAGGATGAAGAAATGATGTCGGCAGTTAATGGCTATTGTGAGGAGCATGACAGTTCTTATTATAAAAGGGGTATCGAACTTATTGAACATCGCTTGTAAAAGTGTATAGAGCTGAAAGGAGTTTATGTTGAAAAATAAATATATTTTTTCCCAAAATTTTTGTGTTTTCTTTGTTAGGTCGGGTACTTCTGGGACCACCCCCTTATATATATTTATATAAATATTTTTTTCAATGTGGTTACAGAGTGCTCTTTTTTGTCAGTATATATTTTTGGGAAATGGAAAATGCTGCTGGCGTATTACGACCAAATTTACTCCTGGGCTCACTTGCTTAATATGNTTTTTTTTTTTTTTTTTTTTTTTTTTTTTTTTTTTTACGAGGAGGAAGCATCGAAAGCCTATACCCGTCAGTGTGGGACTTTAACCCGAACTAAACCTCCTACGGTCCGAGTACCGAACCCCCCGGTACCACCGTCAAGTATTTCGTCGGGAGGCGGTTGAGCACTAGGCTCGCACGTTCGTTCCAGTCGATTGTACTCAGTCCTGGGCTACGCCTAGTATGCTTAATATGTGTATGTTTATATATATGTATAAGGGCAGTGTAATTGTTTCACTGCGTTTTGAAAATGCAAGCGTTAGTATGTATGTATGTACATATTTATCTATATCGAACAATTATGCGAAAAAGTGAGAATAGCCGCAAAGCGGAAGCCAAAAATATTTGTTTGCAAGTAAGAATCTGTTTTTAACAGCTGTGCTTTGGAATGCACGCTAATTAGCTTTGAGGAGGCGCTTTTAATTATGCGCAAGCAGATGATCGGGTAGGTAAAGGGATCACCGTGCNCGTTCGTTCCAGTCGGTTGTACTCAGTCCTGGGCTACGCCTAGTATGCTTAATATGTGTATGTTTATATATATGTATAAGGGCAGTGTAATTGTTTCACTGCGTTTTGAAAATGCAAGCGTTAGTATGTATGTATGTACATATTTATCTATATCGAACAATTATGCGAAAAAGTGAGAATAGCCGCAAAGCGGAAGCCAAAAATATTTGTTTGCAAGTAAGAATCTGTTTTTAACAGCTGTGCTTTGGAATGCACGCTAATTAGCTTTGAGGAGGCGCTTTTAATTATGCGCAAGCAGATGATCGGGTAGGTAAAGGGATCACCGTGCATGCGCATTAGGGTGGTCCAAAAACAGTAAAGTCGGAATTGTAATGCTCTCACCGCCTAGGATTGTTCTATATCGAAAAAAGAATACCATATTTTTTAATTTGAAATCAAAAAATATTTGGAGGTCGCTCAAAGCGCTCAAAGTTGTCCATGTATTTTTATATGGGAAAAAAAGATTTTTTCGTAGAAATGGTATACAACTCTTGAAAGTCAATATTTTTCGATCGGATTGGGTATTATTACTGCAGGTAAACAGAGTTTCCTGGTAGAAAATATTGACTTTTAACTATTCTATACCATTTCTACGAAAAGTTGTTTTTTCCCCATATAAAATAGATGGAAAACTTTAGGCGCTTTGAGCGACCTCCAAATTTTTTTTTGATTTCAAAAAAAAAAAATAAGGGTATATTTTTTTCGGTGAGGTTAGGGGGTGAGAGGATAAAAATTCCCGTTTACTCTTTCACATGCAGTTTTTTACCACCCTAATGTACATATGTATGCCTGTATATAGGAATGTTCATGCGTAAGTATATTTAGTCGCTTGCTGGGTTGATATTTTGTATTTGTGACAATAGAGCTAACCTTGTAAATGTATGTATGTGTATTTGTATCTGCTCAGAAATTGTGATTAAGTGCATTTTTTTATTGTCATGCGCGTATATAGGAATGTTCATGCTTAAGTATATTTAGGAGCTTGCTGGGTTGATATTTTGTATTTGTGACAATAGAGCTAACCTTGTAAATGTATGTATGTATATTTGTATCTGCTCAGAAATTGGGATTAAGTGCATTTATTTATTGTCATGCGCGTATGCGCACTGCAAACACTAATATAAGTTCTTGTTTTATTTATATTTTGCTAAATGAGTTTTAAGAAATTTGATTATTAATTGGACAATAATGAAGGCCAACAAATATTTTTCTTACACCCTTTCTGGCTTATAATGCTTGTAGGTCAGTGGTGCACACGGGAGTCTCCGTTAGCTACTCCGCTTTCACATACAAATCGTGTGTGCGCAGCTACCGAACTTATGCGCCGCTAGCAGCCGGTCAGTTTGTATGTTGATATCCATAGGCTGTGCCGTTCTTTTGGTGATTTTAATGTTGCTCCCAGCAAACACAGTCTCAAACGTTTGAGAAAAATGTATTTCTCAATTTGATATCAAATGTTTTTCTCAAATGATTCTCAAATTGAAAGCGATGTTCTAATTTTACATTTGAAACTCATTTGAGGTTGATTTGAAGAAAGATGGCAAGTGTCAAACGATATAAAAATGCGCAGTTAAATCAAAAATTGTAAGAATAAAATTAAGATCAATTGAAAAAAAACAATGAACAGAAAAACAATTTCAAAGAAAAAGCCCACAAATAGTGGATTCGATGTTTGCGCGGATTTAAGAAGTTGCAGCTCTTCCAGACGAATTTATTATAAATTACTTTATCTTAATTCTTTCTTTTGTTATGTACATACATATGTACATCGCGAAGAAAAAATAAATATGAAATATACATTTCCTATAATAAATTCCATTTGATACAATTGATAAATAACCTTTGAAATCGATTTGAGAGTTAACCATATTCTCAAATGGAGATCAAACTCCCCTTTTTATTGAGAAAGCTGTAATTTTCAAATCAATATCAAATCATTTTCAAACGTTTGACATTTGAGAAAGGCTTTGATTTCATATCAATCTCAAATGTATATCAAACCTAATTGTTTGCTGGTTTTTTGATTGGCACTGTTTTTCGTTTTTTTAGTTGCTTACATGTATGTTTGCACAACTTTTAACTTAAGTTTTTTTTCCAGTTCACTGTATATATTTTTGATGTTTCATATTTGGTTACACTTTAAAGTTATTTTATGTTTGCTTGTAAGCTGCATATATTTTTTGTGGATTTGTTTATAACCTCTTTTGTCTTTGTACTAAATGTTCACTTTCAAATTGTCTTCGCTTGGTTTTTGTTGTTGTGTCCATATTCCAATAGGTGCCTTTCGTTACGGCGAAAAAGGAGCAACGAGTTGACTTTTCTCGCGAGTGGTTCAAAATGGAAAAACACTCGCGTTAATTATAAACGTCATAAAGTTTATTTATTAAAAAATATTGTTGAAGCATACATATAGTATGTAAGTATGTATGTAAATAAAATATATGTCCGGTTCGATATTCTGCGGTGGCCATTTTCCCGTGTGCGCTCGGTTGTACGGTTGAATTTGGAATGTTGTCTTTCTCCACTTTCCTTTCGTCATAAAGAGAAGTCGTACAAGCAGAGAGGGCATTAAGGTGATCCTTCATTACAATCTGACGATTGTACAAAGGTTTTATATTTTCGAAGAGGGTTGCCACCTGTACGAAAAATTATTGGATGTGGGCTGTTCGTTGGACTAAATAGTGAGTCGTTAAATGAGGGGACTTGGCGTCCAGATGTGCCATAAGGTTTTATTTTATTTGAAGTGTTGCCGCCGGCACAGGGGGTAGGTGGACCAGGGACCGGTCTATTAGAAAAAATCTTATTCTAGTCCGATTTGCTTAAAATTTAGTACGTAAGTAGCTTTTTAGCATATATTAGCATATATTAGCATATATGACCCATTTTTTCCGGGAAGTGGTCCAGGGACCGATCTATTCGAAAAAATCGAATTTACAGTCCGATTTGCTTAAAATTCGGTGCGCAGGTAGCTTTTTAGCATGTATTTTCATATGTGATCAATTTTTTCCCAAAAGTGGACCAGGGACCGATCTATTCCAAAAAATCGCATTTATGGTCCGATTTGCTTAAAATTCGGTACGTAAGTAGTTTTTTAGCATATATTAGGATATATGGTCCACTTTTTCCGAGAAGTGGACCAGGGACTGATCTAGCGTTTTACTGTACTCAAGAAGTTAATAAATTGAATTGAATTGAATCTCTGGAAATTTTTTGGTAGAGTTCTAGAATTTTGTATGGAGATGTACGAAATAAATCGCATACTCATGAATAAAGAGGGCAGCTCTTGGAAAGGGGGGCGTGGCACCTCCCATATAAATCGAATTTTTATACTGCATATCTCTGAAAGTATTCATGGTACAGTACTGGAACTTCGTATGGAGATATGTATATAGTTGAAATCAAGCCCATACTCATGGAGAAAATTTGGGCTATTTGAAAAGGGGTGTGAGGCCTACAAACGTACCGACCTTTAGCTATCTTTGAATGAATTTTTTTTATTCCTCTGTAGGTGAGTTTGTGAGTGATCTCCTCCTAAATGGTTGAACGGATTTTAACGAAACTTTTTGTATATTTGAGTGGGTCTCTGGATGGTTTAGTTTCACAATTTAATCCGACAGTTGGCGCTGTAGTTGAGTTATTACTAAAAATCTTATTTATGATCCGATTTGGCTAATGTTTTAAATATGTATGCAATACTATTGCAAAAACGTGCTGCCAAGTGGTGCTGAAGTCGAGCTATTACTAAAAATAGCCAAGTGAGAAAAGGGGCCGTGAAGGTCAGATTAAATCGACCTGTTGCACCATTGAGTATATCGAACGCTCCTGCGTTGCAATTGGCCCAATGGATGTGATTTTCCAATATTATTATGCGTTCAAACTTTTAAGGTATTTCGTCTGAAATAAGTATATGTATATTGCATTTCTGTAGAACAATGATTCGCACCCATTTTGAAATTGCCACCTACTATACTGTAAAGCTTCGAGGACATTCACTATAGAACCGGGTCATTGTTGCCGCCAGGGAGTGAAGAGGAAAAAATTTATTTCGCTTTGCGAATAACCGTGCTATGAAATGCCGCACAACTGGAGAATTTCAAGAACGGATATAACACTTTCCTTAGGTTATTTAAAGCGGCAA